CCAACGGCTGGAGTGCGGCCAAGCCCCTCTTCTCTGGAACTATCTCTGGCTCCAGCACTGGTCCCATTGACCAGACCCTGATCGGTGACGGTACCAACATGTACCTGTTCTTCGCCGGTGACAACGGCAAGATCTACCGCTCCAGCATGCCCCAGGGCAACTTCCCCGGCAACTTCGGCACCGCCTCCACCGTCGTCATGAGCGACACCCAGAACAACCTCTTCGAGGCTGTCCAGGTCTACACCGTCAAGGGCGGAACCTCCAAGAAGTACCTCATGATCGTCGAGGCCGTCGGCTCTGGTGGCCGCTACTTCCGCTCTTTCACTGCCTCCAGCCTCGGCGGCAGCTGGACCCCCAACGCTGCTACCGAGCAGAACCCCTTCGCCGGCAAGGCCAACAGCGGTGCCACTTGGACCAACGACATCTCCCACGGAGACTTGGTCAAGGTCACCAACGACGAGACCATGACTGTCGACCCTTGCAACCTGCAGCTGTTGTACCAGGGCCGCAACCCCAACGCCGGTGGCGACTACGACCGTCTCCCCTACAGGCCCGGTCTCCTCACCCTCAAGAAGTAGAGGGCGACTACTTTGGCTTGTTAAAAAGTCTTTCATTGTACATACATTTTTGAGCTGGAGAGTTGTATATAGTCTGGCTGTTGATTTCGCTTCTTTCCTTTAGCCCTGAGGGCCATCTTTTGAACAAATGAATCCATGGGTATCGTAAGATGCCTAGTTCTACACATAATCTTCTTCCAACTATTGCTATGTGAAACATGATTTGATCGCTCGTCTTGCTGTGGAAAGACCTCTACTAAACTCCTCTGTGCGCTTCTGGTCTTGGAATATCGCTTCTCTGCAGACATCAAGTCCTTTTCTCTCTCTAGTCGCGATCTCTTGCAGTACGTTTCGACTCTCTTCATCCAAAAACGCAACGTCTTCTTGACATCTAGCCAGCGCTTCGTGCATCTCCATAAACGCCCAAGCCATACCAACTAGCACATCCCGGTGTGTCAGCCATCGCATACCCATCCAAACCATCCACTTCGAGAACGCAATAATCTCGTCATCACCAAAAGCAACACCCTCTTTCAAGCTGACAGGTACATGCAGACCTTCCCTGCAGCACATGCGCAAGCCAAGTTCCACAAGACCGACAGCGTGACCGTCATCGGTCCGATGAACTTCGTCCATGCCGGCGACACCAGGACCTTCCACACTGAACCCGGTCTGTGCGCGAAGTACGCGTACGATGGCGGAGCCGAACATGTCAGCAGCGCGGACGGGTACTGCGGGTAGTGCTTCAAGTAGAGTGGGTGAGGTAAGCCATAGTGGGAGAAGGTTGGTCAGATTGATGTTGCTGAAATTGAGAATGAGGGATTCGTCGATGCTCAGATTGCTGATGTCAGAGGTCGTGAACGAAGTAATTGGTTCTGGTGTCGCGAGGACGGGGTAGTCGGTAAGGATGTCCAAGTCCTGGGTCACGGCTTCTACCGGGGGACTAGAAGATTGTCCCGTGAAGTCAAAGTACACGCTTGGATCAGACTGCGGAGACTGAACGGGCGAGCCAAGTTCGTCGATCCACGCTTTCACGACTTCCACCTCCTTCTCGGTAAAACTCCCAAACATCTTGCCTTCCCATGATAACTCTTTGACCAGCCTGCTCTTCTCACTGTCACCCTTTATGACCCAAGGTTTGCAGTCACTCAAATCTTGTACGAACTCCTTCTGCCACTGAGCGTCTTTGAAAGCATTCGGCTCTAGCCAGTCCACCAAAGAACGGCGGCCAATTTTCAGGCGACTGTTACAGTGGATTTTATGAGCAACAAAGCTCTTTGCAGCGAATATGTCGACCAACGCCGCCTCTGTGCCCGTACGAGGAAAGGGTTGTTTGGCCTGGACCTTGAGCGATGGACTTTCGGGAGTCGTAGGCAAGCCCTCAGCGAGGATGTAGCCAGCTTGTACGCGTTTCCACGCGATATGTGCGGCTTTCTCCCCTTCTTGCTCTGCAACCAACTCGATGTAGTTTGTCACTGCAGCCATTGCCATCGCAGCGTGACCCGAATCGGCATTATCAATGGAAATATGAAGCTCGAAGTAGTAGGGGTTTAGTCGAAGTTCGCGAAGTTCTTTGACGGTCTTCAACAAGTGGAGCGGCAGACTCTCGTACGCCATGTTGAAGCCCAAAGCCTCTGGAAGGAACTCGTGGGGGAACAAGGAGATGGTGAGCTGAGCTATGGCGGCTTTCCAGCAGCGCGCTTCAGTCAGATCGTGACGGGGATGAATGAAGTCTTCCGAATCGGCAGCGGGAAGCCCAGCTTCGATGTCCTCCATCAGTTCTCGATACACATGGACATGGTTCTTTGCGAGATCGCCGTCCCCGAGTTCTTCGGACATGACCTGCCAGGCATTCTTGGTGATTTGACGGTACTTGAATGGCGTGCTGATCTTGTTGATGTGTCCGAGCCATGCGCCATCGACGTACTTGACTGGTGCTGCTTGCTTGAGCCACCACTTCGCTTCCTCCTTGTCACTGAACATCTCGCGGGATCCACCGGCTCTGCGACGTGAAAGGTACTCCTCCCAACGGTTGGTGACGTCGACGTCCTTGGCTTTGAGAAACTCATCTAGTCCATCGCGCGAAAACCCTGCGACGGTTAGGATCCCGCTGTGGGGTTCCTTAGCTGCGTCGGCGATTGTCGAGGAGAGGAGACCAATGAGAAGCTCGCGACACTCTGGTAAGATTTCCGGGTGGTGTTCAAGATGATGGAGTTTGTAGTAAAGCTGCTTGTATCTCTCCAGTTCGTGGTCGATTGCGTGATTCGTCTGAACGATGGAAGATGTCTCCAAAGTCCCGTCATTCACTGGTGGTTTGGCATCGTTGGCGGCGGGTATGGTTGGGCTGCCTGGGGTTTCAAGATCCTTTCTTCTTGATCGTCCTTTCGCAAGACGATTTCGAATTTCATTGTAGGCAATGACCGCAAGAAACGCAATAAGTACAGCTGTAGTAGTCTGTAGAATAAACATTATGAGTAATCTATCGTAATGTGCAGGCGTGAGTTTGGTGTGAATAGTAATCCATTCTTCCAGCTATGGAGTAGCACATGGGTTTTGACTATCACTAGTGCACCTGTGGCAAAGCATGCGCCCCCAGGCAAACACGCACAGTAGATCATGCTGACGATGAATACCACGCAGCGGTGTCTTTTGAGATGTCAATGTCATCGCCAGGGAAATGGATCCGTGACGACATCAGGCACTAGACTGCTTGCAGCTAGGCCAAGCGCACCCCACAAAGCGCGCGAGCCGTCCGCGTGGGAGCTAACGTCTTCGCGACATCAATCTGTCCATTGACTGCAAGCGATGCGACAAGCGACAAGAAAAAGCGATGGCTCTTTGCATGCAATCTGCACTGCGCGTCTAGAACAGCTCTTATTCAGGTAGATCAGGCCAGATCACGACATGCACGAAGGCTTTCACGCAGCCTTCATTACTAACAACAACGTCACACTGACACCTGCTTCTGCTCCGCGGCGCAGGTAACTCTTGGTACCATGTGCACTGACACTTGGACGTGTTGGCTGTGTCACAGAGGCGTTACGCCATGAAGTTGCCCGCGGAGACAAACGTGTAGCACTCCTCCAACCATGTCGGAAACTACCATCGCCTACCAGGCCCTGACTAAACATCTAGCCAAGCAGAAGTACGTCTTTGTATGTCCATCGCCAGAGACACAGGGCAGGGTAGTGGAGAAAAGACGCTCGAATGTCGCGACGGAAGATGCCCAGAACGCGTACGACTTCTTTGGGTGGAACTTGCCATGTACCAGGTAAGTTGTATATTCCACTGCTAGTCGTCTACCTGGGAGGTACCGCACATCTGGCAGTTCTAACAACTGACAGAGAAGCACTCCGATCGGTAATACCCGACGACATATTCGAAAGCCTCCACAAAGCCGACGTAATCACACAGAATGACGACAAAAGCTACCGCTCCACCATCCGCGTATCCAACCTGTACCTTCCCAGCCTCCCGAGTCGCGATTCTGATATCTCCTCGCTGTACTACATTCATTCCTCCTTCCCAGCATCGTCCGATTCCGTCTTCTGCGGCCCCGACACATACTCCTTTGTCGGCTTCCTCCAAACCATATCCCAACACCTTCCACATGCGCCCAGCAGTATCGTAGACGTCTGCTGCGGAGCCGGCGCAGGCGCGATACACATGGCGAGGACATATCCGCAGGCAAAGACTCTGGGACTGGATCTGAATCCGCGTGCGCTGAGCCTGGCCGAGGTCAATGCGCAGCTGGCGGGCGTCAAAGTTGGCTTTGCTGAGTCAAATCTCTTCGCCACCGTGCCCGAAGATCTGAAGCACCATGGTGTGGATCTGATTGTCAGCAACCCACCATACATCGCATCGGGTACAGACGGCGAGGATCTACCCATATACGCAGATGGTGGCGCTGGCTTCGGTCTCGACCTCTCCATACGCATCGTAGAAGAAGGCATGAAAATCTTGTCGTCAAGTGGCGTTATCGTGGTTTACACGGGTGTCGCGATGCCCATGGCCAACCCTGGGCATGACATCTTCTTGGAGAAACTGCAACAAGTAGAAGGCGCGGATCTTGCAGAGTACACGATCCTACACCCCGATATATGGCCAGAGGAAATCGGGAAGGGCGCCTATGCAGATGTGGGCAGGATACAGGTTGTGGGTGCTGTGTTGCGGCGCGATGCCAAGGGTATGGAGGAGGCAAAGAAGGCGTCGCGCAGACAATGGGCAGTTTAGTTGACAGCGATCTGTACAGCGGGCATGGCCCAGTCTAGGGATAATTTATATCGGATCAGTCGATACCAGTGAGTACTGAGCTATTAATGGATGGTACGAGTGATTCTGGATCCATCGAGTCACTTGTTCCGTTGATTAATAGCTCAGTACTCATTGGTACTTCTTGCTCTATGTAAGCGATCATCTTCAAGTTTCTAGTCATGAGCGCAACTACTTGAACTCAGCCTCTGGATGCATGCCATCCGGAATCTCCAACGCAGTCGTATACGCAGACTGCCCAACCTGCTTCCCCCACGTATCCGCAATAGCCGGCAACACAGCCCTTCCCGCATACACCGCATCCGTGTTAGGCACAGGCCAAGGAACCGACTTGTTCTTGTTGCTCAACTTGCCCGCATACGACGCATTGAAATACATATTGCTCAACGGAACTTTGCCCGACCAAGCTCGAACCTTATCACCCGTCTTTTCCGCTACGAATTTGAACACGTTGGCGCCCACGTCCCAGCGGCCCAGCGTACGTAAGCCCCAGTTTGCTTGTACAGTGGCGATCTCGCTGTAGTGGTTGTAGTACGTGTTGTCTGTGGTGCCGACTAAGCTGGCGGGTACGGCGTCGCCTAGCAGTATGGCCACGACGCGGTTTTGCTGTCCGTAGGAATGGTTCTCGTCGAAGGTTACCATGACGAGGGTGTTGTTCATGAAGTTCTTGTTGGTGAGGAGGGGTTCGAGGAAGTTGCGCGTCCAGGTTCCTGCTACTGTTACGGTGGAGTCGTGGCCTGTGGGTGTTAGTATGATTCTAGGGGGATGTGCAGAATGTCTTGGATACGCACCATCGCTTGTCTGCAGAGGTAGAGGTACGAAGTCAGCGTTTGTCTCATATGCACTTCGTACACTTAGGACTGACCATGTTAGGTGTTATAAACATCCACTGCGGCAACTGGTTCTTGTCCATATCTTCTTTGAACATGGTCAAGGGTTTTGTCTTTGCCAACCTTTCCGTCTTTTGCGCAACTGAGTCGTACAGCACAGCTGGGTTGTGCTTGCGCACATACATGTTCGCTCCAGTTTTGGGGTTCGTGTACGATTTCCCTTGGAAGCCTACGGATGGCATGTCTTCTTGGTACTCGCCCCAGCTAACACCTTTGTCTTCCAGTAGGTCTACTAAGGTGGATACGTTGGAGGGAATAGCGACCATGTCATCGTGGTTGATGCCGTAGTAGTCGCCTGAAATTGCAGCTGCATAGTTTGGCATAGAAGGATGGGTTACTGCAAAGTAATTCGTGAGACTGATGCCTTTCTTTGCGAGCCATGCTAGGTTTGGGTCTCCTGCTGCGAGATCGTAGTCGGTGTTTTCAAGCCATATTATGGCTATACGGTCGAAGGCTTTCCCTGGAAATGTGCTTTGGGCTTGTACGGGGTTCAGGGTCGCTAGAAGTGCTAGAGACGAAACGAGTGGAGTAATCATGATGGCTAGACAAATCTGTTGTTTTGGTTAGCATGCCCTTTCGGCTCCTTCTACCACAATATCTCTTTACCAAGGAACGTCAAGACAACGGAGAAACGCCGGATGAAATGACAGAAGCAGGCATACATGAAGTTTCTCCTCAGGGCTTTTCATCCCATCTGCCAGGGTCATGAGGCGCCGCTTCCGCTGGGTAGTGCCTAAGGGTCTGGACATCACTGGGACGACCTGCAGTATAGCCGTCACATCCCCACCAATGGCATTCTTCGCAGCGCACATGTGCGCACTCTTAGGGAGAGAACTTCGCGCATCGATGCGGGAGGATAAGCTTTTTAGGAAGGTCGACAAGCTTTAGATAGCTTTGAGAGGTGAACGTGCGGGGCTGATTGGACACGAACTCGGCAAACCTAGTACGACCCGCAGATCCAAGGTATGGCCACACCTGACACCAGTGACACTGCAGGTGGGGTGGCGTAGCGTGATGATCTTCTGGACCCGTGCAGCGGCTGGCTGGTGGTGGCGGTCGTGTTCAGAGGCTCCTTGAACGAGATGGCACGTTACAACGATCAGATCCGACGCAGGGACGACGGGGTGCTTGACACGGAAATTGCCAAACATCAAACAAGAACAATTACTGCTACATATATACCCTGAACCACGTTTTGGTAATACAGGCAGGGACTTGATGAGTGGTCTTGGAAGCTAACCGCGATGGGCCGCAACCAAAGCTTCGGCATGAAAGAGATGTCTAAATCGAATATGCACAAGTCTGAGGAGCAAATTGGCTTGCTGCATGCACCCACAGACGATTACCGATCTCGAGGCAGCGAAGACCACGGAAACGACTTGGAACCGCGCTGGAGCGACAAGCACGACGTTTCACACCATCACATTCATCGGTGGCCATGGATCAGGCCCGTCACCGTTGTTTCGCTTCTCATTTGCACAGTCATAGCCCTGGTGTATCGGGGTCTGACAAGTACCCGGAATGATACATCCCCCTCCCTTGATGCTCATCCTGCAAGACTTCGACCGGAAGAAGACTACATACTCTCTTCATCATGGGATTTCAACGCACCACCTACGACCCGAGAGTATACATGGGTAGTATCCGATCACATTCTCAGCCCAGATGGCGTGTATCGACCCATGATACTCATCAACGGCACCTTTCCTGGACCGCTTATTGAGTGCAACGAAGGCGACGAGCTTGTTATTAATGTTCAGAACCAAGCCATCAACGCTACTTCTTTCCATTGGCACGGTCTCTATCAAAATGGCACGAACTGGATGGACGGAACAGTGGGAGTGACGCAATGTCCAATTGCCCCGGGTCACTCGTTTACATACCGATTCAATGTATCAGGGCAGACGGGAACGTACTGGTATCATTCTCATGTCAGCATGCAGGCGTCAGATGGTTTGGTGGGACCTCTTGTCATTCATGCCAGAGGCGGAGAAGAGAAAGAAGAATTGCAAAAGATACCGTACGAGCAAGACCGCATAGTCATGGTATCAGACTACTACTACGACCTCTCTTCCGACCTACTCATGCAGTACCTCGCCCCTGGCAGCGAGAACGACGAACCCGTTCCGCCATCCGCCTTGATCAACGGAAGGAACATGCGAGACTGCGCCGACTTGCCGAATCGAAACTGCTCTTCCTCTAGCACCAGTAACGCCTTGTTCAACCTATCTCGTACCAGCAACACACGACTCCGAATCATCAACGTCGGAGCATTCGCAGAATTTGCTTTACAGATCGACGAACACGAGTTCCAGGTCACAGAAGTCGATGGCACGGATGTGTACCCCCAGTCTATCCATCGGCTGAACATCAATCCTGCGCAACGATACAGTATCATCGTGACGCCACCGAAGGAAGAGGAGAACCAAGGCATGTACTGGATGCGTGCGAGGATGATAACCCACTGTTTTGCATACGAAGAGCCAGAGTTACAAGAAGAAGTCAGAGGCGTACTATACTATTCTTCTGCGGACGACGACGACACGAAAAACCCCATCCCAACAAGCAAAGACTGGCCCGAAATCATCGACGTGGAATGTCGAGATCTAAACACATCTACCCTAGCCCCCGTCATCGCAATTCCAGCCCCAGAAAACGATCCTCAGCACACCCTCTATCTGCGCTCCTCGTTCCAAATCCGCGACTGGAGGCTCTCGCGGGGCTATCTGAATGACAGTTCCTTCCGCGTCAATGCCACATCACCGCTTCTAAACACTGTGCTCTCAATGCAAAACCCCGAGACAAAGGCACAAGAGGGCATACTAGACACACGCCCCTTCGACTCAGTTCACCAGCTCGTCTACCAAACCAAAACCACACGCACCATAACGATCTTAATACAGAATCTCGATGACGGAACCCACCCCTTCCACCTGCACGGCTACAAATTCTTCGTCTTGGCTCAGGGACACGGGTATCCGCCTTCTACTCTGCTCTCCCCTAGTCACGTTGGCGACTATATGAATTTAACGAATCCGCTACGCAGGGATACGGCGAGTGTGGAGGCGTATGGATGGTTGTTGATAAGCTTTGTGGCTGATAATCCGGGTGTGTGGTAAGTTTTGACTGTACGAATTGCTTATGAAACATATACTGACTTCGTACCTCCCTCTACAGGTTGTTTCATTGCCACGTCGGCTGGCATGCTGAGGCGGGGTTGGGGATGGTATTTGCGACGAGGGTGAAGGGGATGAGGGGCTGGGAGGTACCGGCGGAGGTTGGGGGGTTGTGTGGGGTGGAGGGGGTGGGGAGGGGGATGGGGCCGGAGGATGAGGTCTGGTTTGGGAGGAGTAAGGAGGAAGAGGGTGATATGCAGTCGTAGAGAGTCGAGACTTTTGAAATGTTGCAATGTTGAAATGAAAGGAGATGTCCTTGAACTGTCGATCCTTGAAGAACGGGATTCACCCATCTAGTATACACACCTTCATGTACATGTCTCGTAATACCAATTACCCACAGCTCTTCAATGAAGCTGGGGTTCAAACGTCATCTCGCCGACCTCTTCCCCACCAGCGTTGCGCGACTCGATGCCGTTCATCACGCAATCCTACACTGCCGTATGCCATTGCGCGGCCTACTTCACACCACAGATATGCCTCTGAGATCCTCCCCTTATCAGGAAGCTTCATCCACACCATCACTCCCAGATACCAAACCACCTCTTGACCCTCCTCCGCCTAACACCATCCTCACCAACATAATACCTCGGGTCCTCGACATACTCCTCGCCCTTCAGCTCCGCCTCCCTCATCCTCTCCAACCGATACTGCTTCCTCTTCTCAACCTCCTCGGCCTTCTTCAGCCTCTGCTGCTGGTACTGCTGCGACGTCTGCTCCATATGCATCTTGTAGACCTCAATGAATCTCGACGAGGACTCGAAGGGGTGACGTAGGAAATCTTTGCGCGAGGGAAGCAAGTGGCCGAAAACGGTCTTGGAGATGAAGTCCATGTACCATGCTGCTATGGCGAGGGAGACGAGTATGCCCTGTGGGGAGAGCGGGGTTAGCTTGGTGTGGTTGGGTGGCATGGGAGGGGGGACCTTACCATTGTTATCCAGAGATGGATGGCCCGGTTGTGCAGGAACCAATGCGAGAAGGTGCCCTCGGGACTCATCATGTTGGGGTATTTCTTCGTCGCCATGCGCTTCTTGTCTTCCTCGGATACGGGCGCGCCATAGATCTTGTTCTCCAGGTTGCGGTTCGGGGCGCGCTTGCTGTGCGATGGCGGTCGGTATTTGTCGGGCTGGGGTATTACGGGCGCTCCTTTGCTTTGCTGTGCTTCCCGCCGTCTTCGGAATTCTTCTGAGAGACCTTTGGGGGTAATGGACGCATGGCGGGCGCTCGTGGGGGAGGGTAGCGGGAGGAAGGCGCGGGCTTGAGGTCGCAGGAGCAGAGGGCCCCGGGGCAGGAGAAAGCGTGGTATCGAGTGGAGGGTGGCCATGGCTGTGGGTGGTGATGCTCGTCGTCTCGTCGCCTCGGGAGTCCGAGTGATGAGAAATGATCGAGGCTCGGAGGACGCTCGGACCGGCGCATTTAATCTTTCCAAAGGTTGGGCGTCGTCGCGTCTCGAGACTTTCACTCACCGCAACAATTCCTCATACGGAACTACGGATATCACGCCTATATTTATGATCTGGTGCATATCGCGCGCCCGAAACCCATATTATCTACGTTTGAGCCTGTTAGTGGAGATATGACAACTAATCACGCCTATAGTTCTGAAGCCAGTTCTAATGCAATGCCTCCCAGTTCGCAATGCCTTCTAAACAGCCACCCTCGTTCGGTTCGCAAGCTTATTGGAATGAGCGCTTCGCTGCGAATACAGACCCCTTCGAGTGGCTAGAGGCCCCCAATGCCCTAGATCCCCACATCGTCGATGCCCTGGATGCGACACCCACGCCCAAGCCGGAACTTCTACACATAGGCTGCGGCACATCACTACTATCCTACCACTTGCGCTCCCATGTAGACGCACCGCGACAGATACACAACCTGGACTACTCCGAAGTAGCCATTGAAGTCGGCAAGATCCGGGAACAGGAGATATACCAGGATCCGCGAAAGGACATAGGAGAAGCTGCATGCATGCGCTGGGACGCCGTAGACCTGCTTGACTACCAGTCCGTCATGCGCGCATGCAAGCGTGCAGCCTACTCCGTCATAGTGGACAAGTCAACATGCGACTCCATCGCCTGCGCAGACGACGTCCTAGTCCCCTTACCTTACCCACTAGCCATCCGCTCCTACGAACCGCTAGACCTGGATGCCGCCAAAACCCCCGAGCTGATCCATCCCTTAGTAGTCATGGCTGTGAATTTAGCGCTAGTGACGAAACCGGGGGCACGATGGATTGCTTTGTCTTATTCCAAGGATCGATTCTATTTCCTAGATCCAGCTGCAAAGGATGTAATACCCCAAGGAGCAGTATTCCCTCACCCGGGTGATTTGTGGCGTGTAGTGGATAAGCGCGAGGTCGATGAGGCGGACTGGCAAGTACGGAATGAGGACAGAGCTGATGCCGTGACTCATAGGCCCAAGGTGTGCAACGTTGTATATACACTGGAGCGGACTCATCAGCCACTGTTCGTGCGTGGAGAACACCTCTAGTATTAGCACAACTCGGGCTATTCGTTCCTTTACTCGCCATC